CGCTCCTTCGTCGGATCCGCCGGCTGCGCTGTTCTCAACCCCGCCGCCTCTGCTCACTCTAGCCTGGCCTCACCTCACGCTAAGCCGGGGCTTCCACTAGGCCACTGTGTTTTTCGTTGTGAAAGCGAAACTACTTTGTTTGGTCTTCCAATAGAGGACACGACTACAAATCAGTGGTTAAGTTGTATTTACAACACTGTTCCAGAACAGTTTAACCCAAATATTCAGATGTGTGCAGCACATTTTATAGAGGACTGTTTACTGATCCTGGGAGAGTAACGTTAGACTAAAATGCCGGCAGTTCTGACTCACGTAAGTACGTTTTCATTTAAAGGATTTGCCACTGATGATTCAAACGCGAGTTTTGAGCAGTGTAGAGTAGCACTTGTTGTTTGTCATTTCTCTGATCACAAATGCAGACAGGCTTTTATGTTTACATGGAAAATAATGTGTTTTTTAAACTTTAAACCGCATAAACACATTTCATTGCACCAAATACACAAAATAATGTTCTTTTTAGCAGCATCATATGACCCCTTTAATGTATATACTCTCTGAGCAGTTACTTCTTTTGAACAAGTAATTAATTTGCGATGATTAAAGAGGTATATCTGATATAGTTTGAATGTGTATGAATCTACTGCATCCATATTGTCGTCTGTACTGTGCATCTGTCGTTTTGTCGTCATCACCTGTCCTAGGTATGTAGTAGAAATCAGTGTATGCCACCATTAATTGTGGCCAGAACCCTCTGCAGATCACAACAGCGTGTGTGTCAAATGTTGATTATCGATTGAGCCTGTGGTAACTCATATTGAGCCAGTGGGAAGAACAACAACTCCACTTTGAGTTGACCAAAGCCAGTGAGCATTGTTACATGAGCTCCATGACATGTACAAGACCAACTATGTCTAAAATATGTATAAACCTGAATTTCTTGAAATCAATTTAACATACAAGTTGCAGGAAAGTCGTTTGAAGGAGACCAAACAGATTTAATATATTCTTTCCGCCCCCCCCCCCCCCCCATTGTGTTAACATGTTATTCATTGTTAATTGTTTATTTGTCTCTATGTCTCAGATTGATCTGCTGAAACAGGAAGTAGTAAAGAAAGAGTCTGAGTCGATGGCACTGCAAACTAAGCTTGACACACTGAGCAATCAAAACTCGGACTGCAAACAGCACATAGAAGTCCTGAAGGAATCTCTCATAGCCAAAGAACACAGAGCTAATATCCTTCAGGCAGAGGCAAGTATTTCCATAAAACATAAATTTACACGCATCTGTCACACTTTTCACGCCCATAAATAACTGCATCTGACTGTTAATGTAAAATGCTGACATTAACAGTCAATGCAATTGACTTGTTAATGCAAAATTTTATAATTCTGACAGGACTGAGGGGGTCTCTATAGACTACAGTGAAAATATTTTTTTGGGGAGCCAGTGTTCTTGTTAATGAGGAAAAAACATTGTTAAGATCATGTTATCAATAATTACTGTTGAGATAAAGAAAGAACATTGAGTCTAAAAATGCAGTTGAGGGCAAAATCCCATAAATACGAGATATGAGATTTTTGATGTGTTTTGTTTTTCCATTTCACAGTGTAGCAGCTATGCAAATAGACACTGTCTATAACTGAATGGTGTACCTCTCAGGTGAAGGGTAACCTAACCCTCAGTTCTCACATTCTCACTGCATTTTTAATAGCCTGAAATGTTGTAACCTGCATGCCCTGCCTATAAATTGGACTTGAATACATGTGTCTTTTAAAATGAACAATAACCATCCTAAATTATGTAGTCAATAGTTTTTAACAGCACTATATCACTGAATTATTCACCTGAAAAACAGGTGTGCAGACATTTCTGGGACCTTTCTGAATCATAACTCAGAGGGGCAAAGTCATTAAACTAACCTTTTTCAGCAGGGGCATTCAGAGAACATTGGGGGCATTTTTTAGGGCCATAGATTTTACTATGACCTAAAATCACTAAATTTACACCAATGTGATTAGACAAGATGGTGTGTTTTTCCCCATAGCAATGACACTGTTTCTTTCAGGTTTTTGTAATGAAATCATCCAGAGTTTAAGTGACTAGCATCCACACTAACTAACTAACTAAACCCAGACACCTGTCCTCTGACAAGGAGTGTCCGTTCTTCCAGGCCCTCAAAGAGAATCGTATGTACCAGGAGTCTTCTTTAGGAAGACCAACATAAATTATATGAATTAAAATAATAGACCATGCCCTGAATGACAGACTGTTCTGACAGCACTGTCAGGAAAAAAAGAGACCTTACTCAAAGAAAAAGAAAAAATAATAATAACAATAATAATAAAATAAAATAATTTGAAAAATAATATATCACTTTGAAGATTACCATTGTTAAGTTTGAATTTCCTCTAAAGGACAGTTTGTCATTAGGTGGACGCTCTACGTCTATGTCTGGATGAGAGAGAGTCATTCCTAAACAAGAAGATCAAACAGACCCAGGATCTCATAGAAGAGAAGGGAACACTAAACAGTGAGATGTGTGACCTGAAGGATATGCTGGAGGTCAAGGAGAAGAAGATCAACATCCTGCAGAAAAAGGTACACCAGACATATTTGAAATGTACCAGTGAGTATTGAAGTACCTCCCTTATGCACTTAACAATGAAGAGGACAATGCGTTTTGTCCCCCTCAAAAGCAGTTTTACAAGCTGATTCTTTATTCAACAGTAGCCTACAGTTCTAAGACCAACGTCTGTAGAAAGCCACATACTATACAGATGTTGAAAACTGATTGGCAATATGATTAAATAAGTTTATGAATGTCCATTTGTGCAGCCATAGCAGAATGTTTTATAAGCTTTCTGCAGAATGTCTGTGTAGTAGTAGCCAGATCAAACATAAAACTTTAGCATCATTAACATGCTAAAAGTTTATCCTAAGGGTTGTCATCATAGGCGGCTTGAGGGCCGTTCTGTTTAGTGAATCTCACATCAGTCAGGCAAGCTATAATGCACGCAGTTCTAGTGTTATATTTAGCTTTACAACATAAAATGTTTGTGCTTTCTGTTTTTTGCATGATGATAAATTGCATTTTTATGTAATTAAATTCAAAATCATCAGGTTTATCAGAGAGATTGTGACTCGTCAAACCACTTGTTTGAGTGACATAAATAGAGTGACCGCTCTTTAAAGCGTTGTGCATGGTTATCTAACCATTATTGTAAGTTGTAAGATCAGATCATCTTTGCCTTTTTTTTTAACAATGGTATTTGTAATTAAGACTACAACTTCAGTTGCTACTTCTTAAAATGACCATTTGATGACATTGTCAAATAATGACAATAGCACCAATGAAGCGAGTTGGCAAAATAACTCTAGGAAATATAGAGATAACTGAAAAAAAAACATAAATAAAAAACACTTGCCCTGGATATCATACGATGCCACCCAAAGCAAGGTATTTTGTGAACTCTGCTCTAAATCAAGCAAGAATCTTATAAAGCCTTTGTGAAGGATGGCTTTTCAAAAGCATTAGAATGATGCTGCCTAGGTGGGGATCGAACCTGAGTATCTGGTGCCCTAAGTGTTAGATGTTTCCCACTGAACTCCCCAACAGCTGAACCCAAGAGCAGAAGAGCAATGAACCAGGATACCTGAGTTTTTAAAAATAAGAGTGATCTTTACTTGAGGAACAAAAAGATAGGTTAAAAAAAACAGTAAGGTACAGGCTTCTCTCAAGAGCTAGAAAGAAAGATCGTATCTACACCGTGCTGTGGTTACTATTGCTAGCATCGCCAATGCTCTAAATTCAGGCAAACACAAGCAGATAGACGACACAAGAATTGCTTTATTGCTTGGTTTATCACCCATCCAATTATTTTTGCATGCCAGGGATTGGCAATTCGAGGGAATACAGATGGGGATTCCAATTGAATTCAGTAAATAAATTAATGAGCGCAAATTGTCCCAGTGCTGAAGTCATCGTTGGCTCGCAAGGAATAACTGAGTAGCGAGTTATTCTGTAATTTTGGTGTGCTTACTGCTGTAACATCTTAATTTTCCACCAGGGATCAATACAATCTATTCTCTGCTTGTTCTCTGCCCATTGACACTTTAGGAGACTTCATGAATATTAGGGCTGTTTAATAACCTTTACTTCTGGATCTCTCTGAGACACACACAAAATAAACTAATAAAATAACATAAATTGATATTATAAGGACCACTCATTAGCCCAATGATGGAATCCAACAGCATGGGTGAAGGTATAATGCGTGTAGGTATTTTATCTAATCCTATGTAAAGTTTAACAAAATTATGAGGATTCAGTATACATTCGATTATGGCTCCATGTTTAATCTGACTCCAATTTCAAGTAAATTTAGATTTGTTTCTATTTAGGAAGAAATCTCAAACATTGGTTATGTATTATTTTAGATATCTGATTATTTTGGATATCCTGTACTTCCAGTTATCCGTTCATTAGGGACCTGATGTCACAGAGGTCACTGGGGTCATGCATCTCACAATCACAAATTCCCCAGTCTGATTTTAGTCAGAGGGTGTAGGTTGACTAATAAGTCGGCTACTGCCTACTGCTTGCTCTTGACAAAAAGTATAGTTTAGTTAGTCTCTTTCATACAACTTGCTAAATCAGTGATAGACAGAAATTAAAAGGTCTCTAATGACATGCCTACTGCTCCATTCATTCATGAGCCTTAAGTTTGCTCTATCCTGGCCATAGAGCTGAGGTAACATCAGCCTCCACATACTCTTCTAGTCATAATGTTTAATGAGAATCCAAAATAATTTATTTGTCAGGCAAGAATGTACTATGGCAATTACATTATAAAACAATGAGAATCCAATTCAGAAATTATAAATACATAACAGAATCTAAGAGTGAGAGATGTATACCTGACAGCAAAGAGAGTGTTCTGGGTGCAGAGCTCCAGATATTTCACTCGCACTGTGCAGGGGTTTTCTGGTTACAGAATCCCAGTGACTATTTTGCCTCTTAAATACTCAGACCACTAACAAATAAATCTTCAACTCTAAGTTGTAAAACACAGAAGGCCTTTCGGTTGGTTGGAATCCCATGACCCAAGGGTCACACCTGGCCAGAGATAGGAAAACATTCACATCAGAGACCTTGTGAATGGCACAAAGAACAAACAGATTTGTGAGAATCATCCTCAGATTTAATCCTGAACTTGGTGAAACAATTATCTTTATTTAAAATAGGTTTCAAGCCTCCCAAAATTCAAAAGGGTTAATGTAGCTTAACTAGAGTGTGACATTTACAACACCAAGGTCATGGATTCCCAAGGAATGGACATACAGGTATACTAATGTATACAATCCATGCGCTGTAAATTTGGATATAAGGATCTGCCAAATGCATCACTGTCATGTAAATGAAGACAACATGTTGCTTCTCATTTGCATAAAGTTGATTGCCAACAATCTCTGTCACACAGGTTGCCAGAAATTCCCTATTCTCATTGAAAATCAATGATATCCAGATATGTATGTTATTGCTATAAATTGTGCTCACTGCCTTTCATTTGTATAGTGATCTTCTGAATGTGATTTCAAGAGGATGTGGTACAAATTGGGGCAGTTTAGACCGGTCATAATCTTGACTCCTTCGGCTGTTTCAGTGGTAAATCTGCACGTATAACTGGAGCCAAACAATCTCAATTTAGAACAAAAATGCTCTCAATTTAGAGTCCTGCACAGAAAGGCTTGTGTTTAACACACACAAATGCAATGCACTCCCAGTCCCACAGACTCTCTCAATTACTACCAAATTCACATGTATTAAACACATGTATTGGATCAGATCTAATCTATTGACAGTTGGGACACTTACATAGACACATGTAATACAGAACTTGAAGAATGTTTGATCTGAATACATTATACAAAGAACTGTAAGATTACCTGGGCATGGTAAGTAAAATGCTTTCTAAGCTGGAAACTCCTAAGTTTTCGGCCATCCCACTTTTTGTCTTTCAATGCTCTTCTCTTATAGTAATCTAAAAAGACTAAACAGAATAGTTTAGCATGGTGATGAATATGACAGTGGCAAAAACAGTTCTAGCAGTACCTCAAAAGTAATTGGAATCAAATAATAACTATTGGCCATGCCAAAAGAGTTGAAAAGAAAAGTTTTGAATGAGGAAAAGAAGGGTTCAATTCTGGCTTTACTGGCAGAGAGATACAGTGAGCGTCAGGTTGCTTCTTTCCACACAAGGACAAGCTGCAGACGTTGGGGAAAACAAAGCTACAGACCAGCAGAGGGCGAAAACGACTCTCCGCTGACCAGGATGAACGCCAACTCATTCGAATGTCATTTAATAACTGTAGGATGACATCAATTGACCTTCAAAAAGAATGGCAAATGGCTGGAGTAATGTCACCTTTTCTGATGAGTCCAATTCTCAGCTTTGCCCAACACCTGGTCGTCTAATGGTTAGACAGAGACCTGGAGAGGCCTACAAGCCACAGTGTCTCACATCCACTGTGAAATTTGGTGGATGATCAGTGATGATCTGGAGGTACTTCAGCAAGGCTGGAATCAGGCACATTCGTCTTTGTGAAGGGCGTATGAATCAAGCCACGTACAAGGTTGTCCTGGAAGAAAACTTCTTTTCCACAACTCTGAGGATTGTTTTTTTCCAGCAAGTCAATGCTCCATGTCACACAGCCAGGTCAATCAATGTATGGATGGAGGACCACCAAATCAAGACCCTACCATGGCCAGCCCAATCTCCAGACCTTAACCCCATTGAAAACCTCTGGAATGTTATCAAGAGGAATATGGATGGTCACAAGCTGTCAAACAAAGCTGAGCTGCCTGAATTTTTGCACCAGAAGTGGCATAAAGTCACCCAATAGCAATGTGAAAGACTGGTGAAGAGCATGCCAAGATCCATGTAAGCTGTGATTGAGAATCAGGGTTATTCCACCAAAAATGTATTTCTGAAGTTAAAACATTAGTATTGTGTCGTTTAAAAATGAATATGAACTTGTTTTCTTTGCTATATTTGAGGTCTGAAAACACTGCATCTTTTTGTTATTTTGACCTGTTGTCATTTTCTACAAATAAATGCCCTAAATTACAATATATTTATTTGGATTTTGGAAGAAATGTTGTTAGTAGTTTATAGAATAAACAAAAATTTTAATTTTACTCAAACGCATACCTGTAAAACCAGACAATCAAACAACTAGTTACTTATTAGCATGGATATTACTAGCATATTGTCTGTTTATTAGTACTTATAAAGCACATACAAATGCCTTATTCTGCGTGACCGTATTTTAGATCCCTTAATCCACTCCATACCTGAACTTAACAACTACCTCACTAACTATTAATAAGCAGCAAATTAGGAGTTTATTGAGGCAAACGTTGTAGTTAATAGTTAACAATGAGAATTGGACCTTAAAATAAAGACCAAACAAACAAACAAATAAAATTAACTTATTCAGCCACAATATCTTTGCAAGCACAGAGTTTTTTTATTCAATTTATATATTTATCATCAAAAATAAATAAATAAACAATTGACCATAATTACTGTAAACAA